AATATTTAGTGATAAAGGACTTTTTACAATGACTTCTTTTTTTTTGAGGGAGTCATTTTTTACAATCTGACAAGCAACATTAAGAACAAGCATGAAGTGGGTGTTGCGAAACAATAGATAAGATTGTGGATTGCTTAACGGTGGGTGTGTTCGGCCCCTTTTGCTCTCTGTTTTTCCTGCATACACCCAAAGCCTGCTGCAATGCTAGTAGACAATACTGCTTGTACTACAAATGGAAATCCGAACCCTTCGATGCCACATCCAGGACCCCAAACCTTTAGTTCTGTTGTTGATTTTTTTCAGAGCGTGTAAGCAGAGATTACTCTTTAACTTTACCCTGATGGTAACAACTCATATTGACAACAGAGGGGATGTGTTACATCACTTAGAATCTTTTTTTAACCCATTCCTTACTTCAGATATTTGTGGTTCCTCAGAGGATCAAGTCTGATAGCGTTGGTGATCCATGTCAGGTCAAATTTTCATTTATTAATTTAGTATCTCAACTGTCTACATGATGGATTGGAAAAGCACTTTGGCACTGACATTTGTGGTTCCCAGAAGATGAATCAAAATGCTATTTGGGATCCAGATTTTTACCAGCAGCAGGTTAAAATCTGTGTTTTTGGTCAAATTGATCAAAAGCATCCGGATGGTTAGCTACTAATTTGATACCCAAATTCATCAATCTTGTAGGATATAGTTTAATTACGTCATTGATTCTTTAACATGTTTTTCTTGGGCCATGAATGACATTTCATAAGCCCTAACTATTCAATAAACTAGCTGCCTCCAATTGTAAGTAAGCATGACCATGACATGTTTATTCTGTCATTGCTTATATGTTAGCATGCTGATGTGAGCATTCAGCCCAAACAGAGCTGTGCTTCAGTAGAGTCTGACAGAGCTGCTAGCAGAGTTTTAAATCTTGTTGTTATTGTACAGTTGTTTAGTTTGTGTGTGTTGCTATAGGGATGACGGGCTAATGAACCAGTTCATGCTTTACAAACTGTGTGGTATTGGTCTATGCTATGTTCTGGACCCCGTCCAAATTAAAAATTCAAACGTAAATTAATCTAGCACTAAAATCCACTGAGGGAATGATATAAAAACATCTGTGAAAGTCAGCTGTCAAACAGTACTCTGGATGTTTAAGTCTGCTGATTGTCATCAATGCTTGTTGTGTTTTTCTGGTTATTTCTCTTTTACCTGTCTTTCAGGCTCGAGCATATTTCCTGTTTTTCATTCAGCCTGTCAGCTCATTCCATTAGCATTATGAAGACAGGGCTCAACGTGCACCGCTCATTTCATTTCCCCTTTCATCCGCGACCTGGCAAGGCTTGAGTTCCCCAGTGAACTATTAAATAATGGGTCCTTTGAAGATTAATAGTGCACTCGCTGTGTTGTCTAACAAATCTTTATCGATGGTTCTGGAGAGGGACAGACAGCGAGACAGACAGACAGACAGAGGAGAGGAAGATCTTGATGTCTGGGGAAAGTCTTTGGGCGTTAGAGAATGATAGATGTTGTAAGTCTGGAAAACTGTCTGCCTCTTCTGTTGCTGTCTGAGCCAATTTCCTCAACTCAGTGATCCTTCAAATAACTGCACAATAGAGGGCTTATCTTTAAGTAAAGGTAGAGTAATAAGAGTGGGGCCAGTGAGCCAGCAGCTACAAAAGGCCTCTGGGCTCTGGATAATACTTATATATATATAGTCACAGTATGATTTTATTTATTTCTATCACAGCAAAGAATAGAAGAGGACAAGCCTGGTTATGAAGCATTGCTTTACTTAAGTCAAAAACATTTTACATTAGCTTTGTGCAGAAATAGAGTTGGCCTACATTATGGCATCATTGCCAGTCAATTGTGCCATCACCATGGAGCTGTCACATCAATGAGGTCACGTCTCCTTTTTCCACTGCAAGAGAAGCATGGGTACAGTTTGAGGGGAAAATACACATTTACGGTACACCCCACCTCTGTTCTGATTTCTATCCGTACTACATATATCAGTCTACACAACCATCTATCCATCTGCTATCATTTCCATCCACACCTTTCACCCCAGTCCATACATGTATTGATTCATCTTTCTCTCTCGGACCAACCAATATTGATAAATCCAAAGCTGCCATTAGCCAATAGCGGCAACAATATGAATCACATTCCTCAGCAGTTTCACTTATTGATTCATCTAATGATCAAGTTGATCAAGGCATTGGGTTGGCCCACAGCAAACACCATCCCAGCTTCACAGCGTGCCCTGGAGACAGTCGAAGCTAAGACTACAGAGGAAGAGAGAGGAAGAGGATGGCTGGCTGGCTGGCTGCTGTAAGTGGGACACAGGAGCAGTCAGCAGGGCAGATCGAGGCTAATGCAGCCAGGCATCAAGTCTGTACTGATGTGGACGCTCTGCCTGGCGTATTCCTCCTCTGGCAGAGTAACCTCGGAGCAGCAGCATCTCCCATCACATGTTGTAGCATACATCCCTGAGTCATAGCACAGAGCCTGCAGCAGTGGCACGCACAAACTGTGCAGACATGAGTGAAAGCAAAACACTGAGAATCCACAGACAAATCTGATCATCTGCACTTCTTCGCTGGCATCCATTCATTCATCCATTGGTGTGCTTCAGTGTGTGTACCACAATGAGCAGCTGCATATGATAATGTTGTTTTCTTTTTAAACTCAATGATAATCTTGAGTGTGATGTCTCTATGCACAGTGATGGCTGTGGTAACACACGCTTGTAAATGGAACCGCAATCAGCAGTCATATTAAATCATGTCATGCATTAAATGAAGGCCCCAGAACAGCAAAACGCATTGTTCCGGTCTAGTTGTGTTGAGCTTATCATGCCTGGCACGGCACGGAATAGCGCAGGAAAGAGGCTGCTACTGGCCAAAGGATACGAGCAGAGAAAAAAAAAAAAAAAAAAAAAAAGGAGAGGCGACTGTCCCAGAGTGTCTGCACATCGCCTACGCCCATTCATAATGTGCGTGTTTTACTACCCAGACTCCTGGCATCCCCCTGATCCGTCAGGATTTAGTCCGTTCATCTCCAATCTGTAGCCGGTGACGGAGATTTCACTGCGCATACGACAGCATGGATCTCCATAATCACTGCACACGACGTGTTCGTGAACACGCAGATGAATGCCATTCAGTGTGGTGCGAAATGTCTCATATTGTTATTTTGTATCGTATACGTTTCATACTCAAATAGTCCGAAGGCTTAATATGGGCTGTGAAAGTGAAAACCCACGTATCGACCGTGTCTGTAGTCCATAAACGCTTTAAAAATGCTCTTAATATAATCGATATTAGCTTTACACTGACCCAACACTATAACTTTGATCATTGACCGCAGCCATGCCAGCAAAACCAGGAGGCTTAACAAAGAAAGAAAGAAAAAAAAAAAAGGTCAGTCTTTTGTTGCTTCATTTTTAATTTTAATCGGATTTCAACCTGTCCATCACGTCCTGAACACTGGGACACGAGTAAAGCCTGCTGGCGTAGTGAAGACTACCGTCGCTTAAATTATTCATTTCGATGTGATTACAAATCAGTTCAAATGGCAGGAATGGATGCAAGGTGTACCACCGGGCGCTCCTTCATCAGACAATAACACCGGGATATACCGACAAAACTCACCTCGTGGTCGGAGGAGGAGACAGACGGACCGGGAGACTGGCAACGTGAACCCAGAAAATATCACTGATGCGCAGATTTTTTTTTTTCTTTTTTTTTTTATAGGTCGAATGATGTTTGTCTTTGAAAAATATCCCCGGCGTCCTCCCCGGGCCGGACGGTGATGGTGAAGTGATGTGTGGGGGGTTTGGCTATGTGCTGGATGCTGTCATCGTACTGGGACTGCTCTCTGCCTAATCCTCGGCCCTGAGCTCAGATATAACCCATCCCCTCCTCTCTCTCTCTCTCTCTCTCTCTCTGCTCTCTCTCTCTCTCTCTCTGCTCTCTCTCTCTCGCTCTCTCTCTCTGCCTCCTCTTCTGTCTGACCGGAGGACCCCCACCCCTCCCCCGCAAGGTCAGCTCTATCCACTGAGAAAGGCTACATAATAATAATAATAATAATAATAATAATAATAATAATAATAATAATAATAATAATATTATTATTATTATTATTATTATTAAATACGTGTTTGCCTCTTAATATTATTATGAAATCAAAGAAAATAAAAACAGAAAACAAACAAAAGGAACATTTTCAGTTTTTCAACACAACATACTGTATATATTATATTTAAGCACTCTATTTTGGTACAGCTGTCTGTCATTGAACTTAGGATAGGCCTTTCATTTTTTGTCTGGAAAATTCATTCTTTGTTTTCTTCCAAAAGATAGTTGTTTTGTATCTGTTTACTGTTACTTTTATCAGAGTAAATACTTGTACAGCCTTCCTCAGTCATTCACTCCAGAGATGGAGTTAATGGAGCCCAGTATTTGTTGTGTGTCAGCAGGTATGGGGTCTTGTTAAGCAGCCACTACTAAATCACAATATCAAATAAAATAAGTTGTACATTAGTGCCTGACTTCTGATTCCGTGTCAAAAATTGACATTATGCATAATCCTAAATACCAAATTAAAGTAAACTACAAGACAAAGGGGTCAATGGGATTTATCTTTCTAATTTTGAACAAATATGCCCCTAATGTTTTGTGTGGTAATGCCCTAATCTATCGTGAGACTAAATACAATATTAAAAAAAACGGATCAACAGAAACACAACCACAAAATATGATTTAAAGAAATCAGTCTAATGAATGGAATATGTTTTACAAAGTAAAATAATAAGACTATTTTGTGTCGCGTTGACCTACCTGAATACGTTTAAAATCCCTTTATAAATGTGGTGTATAAATGTTATAAGTAGCCTATTTGATTTTTACTTCCACGGTGCCACGGTTTGATTTTTTTTTCTTCTCTTTTGCTTTCTAGTGTCTTCGTGCGGTTTGTCCCTCTGTGCGTGCCGTACGTCATCGTAACTTCCGTTCAACGTACTTCCGGTGTAGATTATTTCACTCATGCTCCTGCAACGGTGAGTTTTTTTTTAACCACGCAAGGCCGACAGAAGAAAACACACAAGCACCATGTTTAAACTAGAAGGACTCGGCCCAAAGATGGACCCAGAGGAGATGAAGAAGAAAATGCGACAAGACGTCATCTCATCTCTACGAAACTTCCTTATTTACGTCGCTCTTCTCAGAGCCAGTAAGTGAACAATGACATTGACATGAAGAGCATCACTCACTACCATGTTTCCTCCATGTCTCCTCCATGTCTCCTCCATGTTTCCTCCATGTTTCCTCCATGTCTCCTCCATGTCTCCTCCATGTTTCCTTCATGTTTCCTCCATGTCTCCTCCATGTCTCCTCCATGTTTCCTCCATGTTTCCTTCATGTTCCTTCATGTTTCCTTCATATTTCCTCCATGTTCCCTTCATGTCTCCTCCATGTTTCCTCCATGTTTCCTTCATGTTCCCTTCATGTTTCCTTCATATTTCCTCCATGTTTCCTTCATGTTTCCTTCATGTTTCCTTTATGTTTCCTTCATGTTTCCTCCATGTTTCCTTCATGTTTCCTTTATGTTTCCTTCATGTTTCCTCCATGTTCCCTCCATGTTTCCTTCATGTTTGCTCCATGTTTCCTTCATGTTTCCTTCATGTTTCCTCCATGTTTCCTTTATGTTTCCTCCATGTTTCCTCCATGTTTCCTTCATGTTTCCTTCATCTTTTCTTCATGTTTCCTCCATGTTTCCTTCATGTTTCCTTCATGTTCCCTCCACGTTTCCTCCACGTTTCCTCCACCTTTTCTTCACCGTTTCCTTCACCGTTCCCTTCATCTTTTCTTCATGTTCCCTTCATGTTCCCTCCATGTTTCCTCCACGTTCCCTTCATGTTTCCTCCACGTTCCCTTCACGTTTCCTCCATGTTTCCTCCACGTTTCCTCCACGTTTCCTTCACGTTTCCTCCACGTTTCCTCCACGTTCCCTCCACGTTCCCTTCACGTTTCCTCCATGTTTCCTCCACGTTTCCTCCACGTTTCCTTCACGTTTCCTTCACGTTTCCTCCACGTTTCCTCCACGTTCCCTCCACGTTCCCTTCACGTTTCCTCCACGTTTCCTCCACGTTCCCTCCACGTTCCCTCCACGTTCCCTCCACGTTTCCTCCATGTTTCCTCCAGGTTTCCTCCACGTTCCCTCCGTTCCCTCCATGTTCCCTCCACGTTTCCAATGAATTGATGTGTAAAAATTGACCTGAGGGCCATGTTGAGGGTTGTGGACCCCACATAAAGAAGCTCCCCAAACCTGCTCTAATCTAATGCCTGGTTTTCTTCATTTACAGCCCCATATGTGCTGAAGAAGCTGGACAGCATATGAGCAGAGCAGCTGTTTTCTTCCATCAGAGACACTATGGACCATCATCGGCAGACGATGGGGGCCATTACAGCAAATCCTCTGACGATGACCAGAGTCTGTCACTCACTGCACCTGATGCAACACCCTGATTTCATTTTTAGTCTTGTTCTTACGGTGTGTTGGCCTTTCATGTTCAACATCAAGTGAAATGCAATGTTTGCTTTTGTGTATACCTACTGTGTTCACAAAATGATGGGAGACAATGTTTATGTCTTTGGTTTGTTACTTTTCATGAAATCTGCTCTGTTCTACTCATGTTGAATTCAAATTGTAAAAACTGCATTTTAAAAATGTCCAAGCTAAATTCAAGCTCCAACATTCTGAAGATCTAAATGAATACGTGTTCGCCTCTTAATATTATTATGAAATCACTGAAAATAAAAACAGAAAACAAACAAAAGGAAAATGTCTTTTTCAGTTTTTCAACACAACATACTGTATATATAACATTTAATCAAAAACAAACCTGGTGCTTTTGTCTATCCATTTTAGTACAGCTGTATGTCATTGAACTTAAGATAGGCCTTTCATTTTTTGTCTGGAATATTCATTATTTGTTTTCTCCCAAAAGATAGTTGTTTTGTATCTGTTTACTGTTACTTTTATCAGAGTAAATACTTGTACAGCCTTCCTCGGTCATTAACTCCAGAGATGGCCTCTGAGGGCCCACCAATGTGCAGGCAGCTGAAAAATCTACACTTAAATACTGAATCTGAATTATTCATATAAATTAATAAAAATGACTGATTACGTTTTTAGGCAATGTCGCAGGATGTACACAAACATCCTACACGCAGGTTTAGTTTGTGTTCAGACATCTAAACATATTGTAACCCTCTGAATACTACTTTGTGGACACTGTAAGAAAGCAAGAATGCAGTCTATATGTACCTTAGAATGATGCTTTTAAAGAAAGAGATAAATGTAGAAGTACAAGTGAATGGTTTGTGGCTACTCTCTGTGTTAAGAAATCTCCCATATAAATGTATTTGCAGACTACATAGCTCTGTGAATGACATCATGTTGGTCCTGTCCAACATTAGATAGAGTACTCTTTGTTACCAGTCCCAGACAGTAGACACTGATACAGAAGCCTCTTTTTTTGGGATTGAAGCTTCTTAAATTGTTCATATAGACCAGGGGTGGGCAACTGGCGGCTCCCATTAACCCTCAACGTGGCCCTCAGGTCAATTTTTACATATCAATTAATTGGAAACATGAAGAAAACATGACAAAATCTGCCATCAAATCATGAAAACCAGAAATATGTCCATAATAATATTTGATCACTGGTATATGTTGAGTTAAATTTGTGACATAATTGACTGCAATCGTTTTTTGTATTCTTCAATTTGGCCCTCTGGCAGTGAGAATTAAATGAATGTGGCCCTTGCTGTGAACGAAGTTGCCCATCCCTGATATAGACTGATTATAAATGATTAACTTCATTGTGCTTTTGTATGTTTGTTATGTACTGTGTTGTCTTTTATCTGAACCGTAAGTCCGTAATAAAGTCTAAATAAACTAAATATTTATATAGACCTACTTGGTGTATGCGGGAGTCTTTGCAATCTGCCCATTTAATGAGATTTAGAGTGGCAGAAGTACAAATATTAAATGAAATCCACAATAGCACCACCAGGGGGCGGTGTTGATTTTCTCCGTGGGTTAGTGAGTCTAAGTGAGGGAGGCGCCGACAGCTGATGGCAAAGCCGGTCTGCTGTGTGAATCAGTATCACCAGTTAGCCCTAGATAAACGCTTCACAAGTTTATATTTGAGTTTCGGCAGAGGAAGAGGAAAATTTGGGCAACAACTCGTGCGCTGTCCTTGACAAAGCGCGAGACCGTGCCGCATCCTTCCGTGTTATTGTTGAGCAGGCCCGCCCATACTCCAGAGAGCATCTCTAGGAAACCCGGCAACAACAGACAAAAGGCTGCTGCATATCGCTACGGAGGTAGGCTTATTTTTGAAATGCCACAGTCCAGTGTGCCTGATGAGATGAGAACACAAGGAAACTGGTCGTTAAGACACTGACTTTTGTTTTTGTTTTGACAATGACCTTCATTATGTTATTCTGCTGCCAGCAGCACACATAACACCTGCAATAGTAAACCGCGGAATTTCCACCGCCTATTATGGACTTTCCAGGTCATTTCCAGCATATTTTCATGCAGCTCAACCATCAGCGTCTCCATGCTCAGCTGTGTGATTGTGTGGTGGTGGTTGGATCCCAGCGCTTCCAGGCTCATCGCTCCATCCTGGCAGCATGCAGCTCCCACTTCAGGGCTCTGCTGAGCTCACCTGACAGTGGGGAAGAGCCCGGAGAACCAGGAGGAGCTGACACAGTTGGAGGTGGAGGCCCCAGTGTGATGAAGTTAGATCCAGAGGTGGTGACACCAGAGGCCTTCACCACTCTGCTCGACATGATTTACACCTCCACCCTCTCCCTGGGGGCCTCCAATGTGATGGATGTGCTGCTGGCAGCATCACACCTGCACCTTAATGCTGTTGTCAAGGCCTGCAAGCTCCACCTGTCCAGGAAAAACTTCCCTGCATCGCCTCCTAAGGGCTGGAGGTCAGTGCAGCAGCAGCAGAGTCCATCTTCCGAGGCAGAGAAGGCAGCATTTCTTCAGCAGGTCACATCTGTCATGGAGGAGGGTGATGAGGAGGAGGAGGTTAGACTGGAGGTCAGTCAGTCTGGTGGGGTCGAAGAGCCGAGGATAAGTGGTATGCAGAGCACTACAGAACTTACAAGCTACAAGAGGAAGTCGAATGAGGACAGTCTGAGTGGTAGGAAGAGGTCCTGCAGGCTGCAGGAGGGGAACTACAAAGAGTGTTCACCTACTGTGACCAGAAGCACCATTAGCACAGAGGACGGAGGAGAGGAGCTGCTGTCACCGTCCGACAGACACTGGAAGGCCCGAAGTGAAGAGGAAGTTGAGGAGAAATATGAAGCTACAAAGGGTGAGTCAGAGGAGATCCAGCTGCCTAGCCAGTCGGACAGCAGCGCAGGAGGCATAGGTGCTTGGGAAAAGGGTGGAGACACAGATGGAGACACTGTGGTCAAAGTAAAGGTGGGAGATGAAGGGAAGGAGAGGAGACAAAGATGATGAAGATTGAGGTGAAAAAGGAGAATCTAAGCTCATATTCACCGAATTTAGACTCAGTAGCAAATAATTCTCCTCCTTCTCTACAAGACTACACTGACAACTTGAATGCACAACTCAATGAGGAGAAAATGGCTGCTGCCTGTCCACCAGATGTCAATATTAGCTTTTTACAACCTCAGTCCTGCATACATCTTCAGCCTGATGCTCAGAAAGATGATGGAGATTTAAGTGGGGAGTCAGAAGCAGGTGAATGCCTCGACAGCCTGTCAGAACTGGCCTTTTCCTGCTTCCTAAATCCCAGTGCTGAAAGTGTAATGGGAGATCTGGACGAAGAAGACAGTCTCGCTAGCCTCACCGCTGCTGCAACCGCAGCTGCTGCAGCTGCCAGTGACTCCCCTGAAGCTGCTGGAGATTTGTGTCTCAACTCAGAAGAAGCAAGCACCTCCAATGCTCAGCCATCCGATCCCTCCTCCTCACTTGTTTTCCCTGTCACCTCTGTCCCCTTGCAGCAGCTTCTCCCAACTCAGGGACCTAGTTTCAGTGACACGCTCATCCTCCAGCCCACCCAGAACTCGTTTGCAGGATTCCTGAGCGGCATCACGCCGAGTCTCGGCCTCGAAACCTCTCAGAGCCAACCCTCCAGAGTGGGGAAAAGCACAGGAGCGACGACTTTCCGTCGCATCGCCCCCAAAGTCCCTCCAGGGTCAGAAGCTGGTACAGAAAGTTCTCCTTTGGATGATCGTCCAGCTCTAACCAGAGCCTCAGACGACGTTCTTTCCAAGTGCAAGAAAGCAGCAGCTGAAGACCATGTACTACTGGTGGAAGGGGAGAAGAAGTATGCCTGTAAAATCTGCTGCAAGACCTTCATGAACCTGACTGACTGTAAAAAGCACATCAGAGTCCACACAGGGGAAAAGCCTTACCCCTGTCCAAAGTGTGGCAAACGCTTTAGCCAGTCCTCCCACCTGTATAAACACTCAAAAAACACCTGCCTAAACTGGAAGGATGATCAATCATTCCCAGACAGCCTGTTGTGACCTGCACAACAGGCTGTCATCTTCAGAAACAACTCAAACTGTTCTTTGAAATAATGAACTCGTGATGCAAGTTGTATTTATTACTTTACTGATCAGTTTTTGACTTCACTTCGACAGTCATTTTAATCTTGACATGTTTTTTGTTTTTTTTAATTTATCTTCTTTACAATGCTGTGAGTTTTGTTCTGTGTTACAAGAAAACTAAACAGACCAAATGTAGCTAAACTGATGTTATTGCAGTAAGATTTTTTTGTCAGCTGCATCAAGATTGATAAGAATAACTAAAATATTCAGTCATCTTTATTGAATTTACCAAATCTATGAGCATGAGGCCATCTAAGGCACCAGCTTATATTTTTTCAAAACATTCCATTTTACAAAAAACTGGAGTGTAGTACTGTTTCATACCAGTAGACATGGAACATTAGCGTTTGAATAAAGTGCAGAATAAGTCAAAGGTTAAACTTTACAGCTACTTTTACATTAAGTCAGGGTTAACCCTTAACACTATGTCTGAAAAGTGTTTCTATGAGTACTGCAGGCACAGCGGCTCCGTTTCGAGCGCTAGAAGGCGAGTTCACTGGGCATCTCTCCTCCCTGTAAACCTTCCAGCAGGTTTCGAGCTGACAAAGCTGCCATGACGCCTCTCGTGGAGTAGGTGGCACTGCCAATGTGTGGTAACACCACTACACAAGAGATAAGTGAAAGCATTTGTCAAATCAGGAGGCTTAGTGGGAACAGGGCCATGACTGCATATTTCACATCCCATCTACTCACCACAGTTATTAAGTGTAAGAAGAGGGTGGTTTGTTGGGAGTGGCTCGGGTGTTGTGACATCCAGTCCGGCTGCAGCGATTTGTCCGCTGGTCAAAGCCTCATACAGGTCCTCCTGGTTCACTACAGCTCCCCTGAAAGCACCATTCAACACATTAGAGTCTGCGTGTGTGTTAACAACTAGAAAAGCTTGTGGCAGAAATGTACAACAACCAAACTATGTTTCAAAACCAAAACTTTTTCTTTGATTTGTTCTAATACTGAGATTCCAGAAATACATCCAATACTCTCTGAAATGATGTTTGATATCAGAAAGTACACGAGGTGATGCACAGGCCCAAAACCAACATTTATTAGCTGAGCAAAAATCTTCATAAACAATACCTAGCACTGCAAAAATATGTTCGCTAGCAGAGAGTGAAGTCGGTCGAAGATAGGAAATCACAGTATTTAAGGCTAAGTCTTTTTTTAGATTTAAGGTTATAGAAGTTAAACTTGTGACATCAGTCCACTGCTGCTGCAAAAATAAAATTGTTGTCTGTTTTTTTTTTTTTTTTTATTAATGGCACTGTTTAAGCTAGGTTTGCATTGCTTTAAAAGTCCACCTGCTTGAGTTGATAAAGACTGCTGTGTTTTTCATCTTGCTGAAGAAGGCCTTGTCACACAGTCCCTGGGTTTCTGGCGTCAGAGAGCAGGAGACAACAATGAAGTCACTCTCAGACACAAGTGTGTCCAGGGGAACTGTTTAAAGAAGGGGGAGAAAAGGAAAATAAATTTAAGAGATGAAACACACATTAATGTATTACAACCAAATTTTCTCTCCTGTTCTTTTTTTATTACTAAGCTTTTAATTTTTCCCCCTGTCACTATGTTAAGTTTTTCTTACCAAACTCTCCGCTAACCTCAGCAGCATCAGCCTTGGTTGTTCTCCCAGAGTACAGCAGTCTCTTCACTCCAAATGGCATGAGTCTGCGAGCAATGGCCATGCCTGAACAACAACCACAAAAAGTACCATTTATTCAACCAGTTTTAAACTTCATTTGGGATAAATATTAGACAATGCTATTAAGAAATGTCAAACTATCTCTATTTTAATGAAGATGTAGTTCCAAAGTAAATAAGGCAATAACCAATGCGTCCCAGTCCAATGACCCCCACAGTGCTGCCGGAGAGGCCATAACCACACAGCATGAGAGGCTTCCACGAGGTCCAGTCACCACTAGCAGACCAAGAGAAAAACATTTTGACCAAAAAGTTTATATCATTACTTGAAGTCTAGGTTAGGTCAAACTCAGATTTTTTTTTCATAAACGAGTAAACATGTTGAGACTGACTTTTTGACGGCCTCCACCCCCTCTGGTAATCTGCGAGCAGTGGCCAGCAGCAGGGCTACAGTAAGTTCTGCCGTGGCATCAGTCAGGACGTCAGGAGTGTATCCAACACGTATGCCACTGTTTAAAAAAAACATACAGTACTACATGTATAAGCTATGTTACACTTCATGCTGTTAGTCAAAGGTTGGTTTTGTAAGGTTGACCTACCGCTTTTTGATTGCGTCAAGAACCAAGTGGTCAAATCCCACGGACATGGTGCTGATGACTTTCAGGTTTGGTCCTGGAATTAGAGAAAAGATCAGCTGAGACACATAAAAGGAGAGTAATCATGATCAGCAGGTTGATTCTGAGGATTCCTTAGTTATAGATAAGCTGAAGCAATGAGTGATTAGTTGATAGGTAGAAAATGTTGCCAAAAAAATATGGATAATTGATGAATCATCATGAAATTAAAGTGATCTCTGGTTATGTGCACTTCTTGCTATTCTGTGTCATGTCATTGTAAATTTCAGTGTCTCTAGAAAGTGTGCATACCCTTTTTGAATTTTCATGTTAATTGTTAATTGTCTTGCAGTTCATGGAAATCCTATCTACAATTTGTAGATAGGATTTTAATCCCACTTTTATATCCAAATCTCTAACCCTCACTTCCTGACATCTCCCTGCGGTCTGCATGGACTGTAAATATTAAGGTTGTCTGTAATAAAAACATAATAGAATGTCGACACAATGTAAATACAAGTAAATGTAATGTAGCTCTTTTAGTTTTTCATTCATAAACATAAAACATTGAAATCCACTGATACAAAGTTGATGAGAACCTGCAGCATCCAGAAGCTCCGCATCGATCTTATCTGACAGCATACACAGCAGACCATGAGCGCCCTGCACACCTTTGAGAAGCTCTGTCCTCGGCACAGGTTCATCCGAGTCCCACATGGAAACCTCACATCTGTTTACATGGAGACAGAGAAGAACTCAATGCAAAGGGATAGCCTCATCCAGTCAGTCAGCCTATCATTTAGCTGCAGTCTTGATGAATGTATGCAACTGCGTTAGAGATCTTATGAATCCGTCACTCTGATATTTTCATTTTGTGATCTCATAGAATCTGGACATGCAATACAAAGTGTCACATGAATTCAACTAAAAATCTAAATGTGTAACACGTGTTTCAGCCAAAGGAAAAGACAGCAATTTAACACTGTGTGTAGAGCCACACGCTGTGCGGTTAGTTATTAGTTGTTTCTCTGCATAACAGTTAGATGAAGGTCAAAATTACTGCATACACTCCAGTAGCAGATGAAAGTATCTTCATCCCCTCCGGCGGGATTCGTCTCGTTATGTAAACCTTCATAAGTTTTCCAATTGTCTGCATCCTACTTAAAGAGCCACAATGAACAAAATCCTCTTCAGGTGATACAACGTGTAACTTGTGTAAAGGCTGGACGACTACACACTGGTAACACAGGTAACCAGCAAAGTCTGAATGACAACTGGAAGAAACTACACTTGTACACGGAAGTACAATGTGTAATTCTTCTTCTTTGTGTGTGTGTTTTAATGGCAGCTGGTATCCAACAAGTTGCATTACTGCCATCTACTGGATTTAACTTCTCAACAGACCAGTTTTCATATAATAATATTCACAGTCTATGTTTTCAATACATAATCAAATAGGTAACTTCGGCCTCAGTCCAGAATAATTCAGATGAGTTCAGCTCTCTTCACTTCTAATGATGTTCTGTCTTTGTGTTGAATATAAATACAGGTCATAAGCACGTGTTCAACATGTTTCTGCTTGACTGCAAACCTCACAGAGACCAGATGAATTCTCTATTTTACTGTATCAATGTTGCTCTGAATTGAATATAAATATATTCCCTTTGTCTGATTGATCCATTACTGTTTACTCCATGGGATTCTTTACCCTCTGACTTCATCTCTGCACTGTAACTTTTACGCTTATTATTATTACAATTTTTATATAACTCTTTTTATGTTAGCTTATTTTTTTTGACTTAATTATTTGACTTAATTACATTTTAATCATGTATTTTATTTCCACATATTTTCAGATTTAATCTTCTCTTCCGTGTGTGAATTGTTTGTTCGAGTGTTTTAAAAATGTTCTAATGTTCTTCTTTCCTCTGTCATGATGAGTTTGATGTCTTGTTGTTGAAATGTACTATATAATTAAACTTGCCTTGCCTTTGGATAATGTGATGTCCAAATAGCAGTCCTCTCTTTCTTAATAACTTCCTTTGCACAACCCGTTTATAGTTGCATTTCCTGCAATGCCTGTATGTGCTGGAATCCACATGAATGTCCTGTCTGAGCCCTGACTGAATGTGTAAGTATTATTTCATGGCGAGAAGATCCTGATTCAATACGGTACATAGCACGCACTGAGTCACTGCATAGCAGCACTTTTCTGCCTTTGATTTGCTCCACCCATTCTAAAGCTACTAAAATAACACAGCTCTACCGTATAAACATTCAGGGAATCTGACATTCTCTTAACTGCTCCAACATTGCAGTGTGGGAATTACACAGCTGCTCTTGTTGCATTTGTCAGTGGGTCTTAAACATCATTTGCATAGCTTTGCTCTGTGTGTTCATAAAACTGACTTACTAAATCCACAGTTCTTTTTGATGCATAACTCTGTGCATGAGAGGAATTATAACTACTCTGGTCTCTCAAGTTGTACTTCATCAATAATAGATCACCTGAATCAGTTCTATTTCATGTCAGGATAACTTTTAAAAATCTTCTGTTCGTTTTCTTTTTGGTCAAGGTGTTGTTTGTAAAAAAAAAATTGCAAACGCTTTGTCAAAAACTATCAGTAGGCTATATCAATAATTCAATGGATTGTTTAAAAAAGGAAATACAACCCAAACTGATGTACAGCACTTAAGTGAGCTAAATATAGCCTAC